AGGGTGCTGAGTGCAGGGCTGGGGGGTGGGAGGGGGGGCGCGGCAGGCATTCCTCTCCAAGGCTGAGAGCAAAGCACAGAGATCTACAAAAATAAGATTTCCACTCGGAGGAGTGTCGCTGGGACAGTTCAAACCTTGTCCCGCGCTGGACTCAGAGGGAGCAGGGGCAGGAAGGAAATCACTGGAGTGGAGTGGGGCTGGGGCTGGGGTGACAAGGAGAATTGTAATACTTGACTCACTGGCAACGCCACTGGCACTGCCATGAGCTCAGAACGTCCAGCCCTCTGACAGCTCGGAGAGGTAGGTTGGGAGCAGCCCGTGTCCGGCTTCCCGGGCGGCCTGTGAGGTTGGATGCCCCGCGGAGGTGGGCGGCCTCGCTGGAGAGCTGGAAGGGGGCAGCCCAGCTCCTGCCTGCTCAGGCTCCGCCCACCCGCCCACGCTGTCACTCTCAGGGTGACAGCTCTCCACATGAAAAGATTTGCATATGCTAAATAGGATTGTCAGCAGCTGAAGAGGCCCCTGGGGGGTTACTGGACTAGAAAAAAGTGTTTTTCCCTGAAAAAGCCTTCAGACAAGACCTGTGGGACAGCCTGGACCCTCCCCCAGGAGATCCTGTGTGCAGGTGCCACCAGGACCCCAAGCTGAGCCGGAGGGGCTGGGCCAAGGCCACACTGCTCCCTTCCCAAGGGGTCCCAGGGTTCATTCCCCACCCAGGGCACGGGGACAGGCCTGCTCACCCCTGCCTAGGACCCAGGCTGCTCTCCCCACTCCCACGGCTGCGTTTGGAGAGGAGCTGGGACCACACAGGAATCACCTCGCCCCCATGGTTAGAGGGAGAAAGTCCGGAAAGAGAACTCTGGCCATGATAACAGGTTCCCCTCTTCACATGGGCCGAGGGCTGTTGAGCTTCTTAGCCCCAACCCCACGGTGCTCAGCCTTCTTTACCCGGCCTGTGGGCAGGGTCTGCCAGGCTCGGGAGCAAGAACAGCTGGGTGCCAGGCTGCGGATGGACCGGCTCCCTCAGGCCCGTCAGTTTTATGTTAATACTCGTACAGAGGCCAAGCTTCGGCCCCCAGGACCAGCCGTGGGACCTCTCTTCTGGAAGCCTTCTGCTTTTGTAGAACCGACCCTGCGAGGCTACTTTTCAGTGTGTCCTACTAGGTCCTGCCTAAAAACACAGGGGAAAGCAGGACCTTGGGGACGATGGAAGGCCGGAGGGAGTCCCTCCCCGCTGACAAGACACCACGTGGGGCTGGGAGGAAAGGTCTGTCTCCTTGGGGCTGGGCTCCCTGGCACTCGTCTGAGAGCAGCTGGTGTGTGGCCTGTGTGTGCACATGTGTGTGAGAAGAGGGGTTCAGCCCTCCTGGTCTGCAGCCCGAGTGGCAGGGGACCCCCTTGCTGCAGTGAAGGCCTGTGGGAGCCACACCGATCCCACTTCTGCTTTGAGAACTGAGTCCCAGCAGCCTTTGGGAACAGTTCACACCTGTGCAGAGTTTGGAAGAGCAGTTTGAGTTGCTGCCCAGGTCCACGGAAAAAAACGTTAGTTCTTTGCTCAAGTAAAAAAATATCAAATATAATAAATTTATGAAAGCCATTCACAACATATACAGTCTTCATTTTCTATTTTGCCGCAGCAGCTGGGGTGGGGTTGCTTTTCAGAGCCCCAGGGTGTTGCCTGACCAGACCAGGCCACTGGTATGAGTGGGGGTCTCCAGGGACAGGCCGCCCCAAGTGGTGGGCATGGCCAACTGCTCCCAGCCATCAACGCGGGTGCTATAGAACTCTGCCTTGTCGACCCACGGGGCTGAGGCTCATCTCTCACTCCTGAAGCCCCAAACAAAGAAGGCCCTGCAGGTGCTGGCTTCTGGCTGCACATGGGTTTGCCTCGAGGCAACAGGCTGCCTTTCGGGGTGTCTTGGCCAGCCTGGGCGAGGCTCACACCATAGACTCTCGGTCCCTGTCTGAGGATGCGGGGAAGTCCGCGAGATCTTCACTGCGGCTGTAGTCAGACACCCGCACCTGGAGGTTGTCACTGGTGGCCCTGGTGACACTGTCATAGGAAGGGGGGAAGGATGTGGAAGAGATGGAGGAGCTGGAGGGCGGGCCAAGGCGCTGGGAGAAGTTCTCATTCATCTTGCAGGCGATGAGGCCCTCTTGCTCAGGGGCATCCTCCTCGGAGAGGCCGCTGCTGCCCGCCTGCTGGCGGAAGAGGAAGGAGGCGTGCTTCATGGAGCGCTGCAGCAGGTGCCTCCGGAAGGCCCGCTGGATGATGGTGGCCGACACCTCCTCGTGCTTGCGCCGGAGCGTGGTGGTGATGGGCTCGTAGGAGATCTTGGATGGGTTGGCCGCCATAAACTTCTCCTCCATCTGGATCTTCAGGGCGTCCATCTCCCCGGACTCCCCCAGGACCCTCTTAGTGAAGGCAAAGAGGATGTCCATGCAGTGGATACGGTCCCCACTCACCATGGGCAGGTCCATATTGATCAGGCTGATCTGGTTGGGCTTGGCGATACGCAGCGGCTCAGACAGGGCGTTGGCAAAGTCGGACAGGGCCGTGTACTCAATGAACTGGGTGGCCTCCGGGTCGAACTTCTCCCAGATCTCATAGAACATGTCAAAGTCATCCTCGCTCAGGGGCTCAGTGCTCTCCTCTGTGGCCACGCTGAAGTTCTCCAGGATGATGGCGATGTACATGTTGACCACGATGAGGAAGGAGATGATGATGTAGGTGGTGAAAAAGAGGATGCCCACGGCTGGGCTCCCACAGTTCCCCCGGGAGCCATTGCTGTTGGGCAGATTGGGGTCGCAGTAGGGGGGCCCCGTGTTGAGGATGGGGTTGAGGAGACCATCCCAGCCAGCCGATGTGGTGATCTGGAAGAGGCACAGCATGCTGTTGGCGAAGGTCTGGAAGTTGAACATGTCGTCGATGCCAGCCTCCCACTTGACATAAGCGAAGTTGGCCATGCCGAAGATGGAGTAGATGAACATGACGAGGAAGAGCAGCAGCCCGATGTTGAAGAGGGCAGGCAGGGACATCATGAGGGCAAAGAGCAGCGTGCGGATCCCCTTGGCCCCGCGAATCAGCCTGAGGATGCGGCCGATTCGGGCCAGCCGGATGACTCGGAAGAGTGTTGGGGAGAAGAAGTACTTCTGGATGATGTCCGAGAGCACAGTGCCTGTGGGAAACAGCAGAGGCTGTGGCCACCCATGGCATCTCTGTCCTCCCTCCAGACCAGAGTTACTGGGTGGGATGCTCCACAGCAAGGGGCAAGGAAGAGGGGGCCCTTCCAAGAGGATTGGGCTAACTGCAAGGCCCTGCTCCCCGTTCCCATGAATCTCCATTTCTGCATATGATCCAGAACATGAGGACTCATGACTTTTGCAAAGTGCCTTCTTAGTCTTCTGAGAACACTGCAAAGTAGAGCTGTACTAGGCCTATCATCTAGATCATGGGCGCTGAGTCCTGAGGGGACTTGCTCAGCGCTTTGGTGGCCTAATTTGGGCCAGAACTCAGGCCTTTTACTCAAAGTGTGGTCTGAGGATCAGCAGCCTTGGGATCTCCTGGGCACATATCAGAAATGCAGGACCTCAGCTCTGCCCCAGAGCCACTGCATGTGCACAAGCCCAGGAGTGCAAGAGGCACTAGCCTGGAAGTCAGCACTCTCCCCTATGCCATGCCATGCCACTCCATGTCACTCCACGTTACATCTCAGGCTCCCTGAGATGGTTCCTATCATCTTCTCAACTCTACTAGCTTCCAGGGTTTACCCACCCCTTGGTCTCTATTGACTGCTCTGGGCTGGGATTTTTAAGGAGCAGGGATATAACTTATAGGAGAAAGAGTGAAATTGACTTGCCTCATATTGGCCCAAGTGATTTTTCCCAACTCCTCATATAATAATGATGTCACTGGCTGACATGTGTCCAGTGTTTACTGTCAATCAAGCACTGAGCTGAGCACTTTATATCATCCATTAAGCCCTTCCAGTCACCCTAGAAAGTAAGCTGATACCCTCAGCCTCATTTTCCAGAAGAGGAAGCTGAGAGGTGAGGTAACTTACCCAACTGGCCACCTAGTCAGTGAGAAGCTGGAATTTGACTCAGACACTCTGGCTCCAAGTTGACCTGTTAGCCGTGCCTCTCCAGCAGGCCAAGCACCGGGACCAGGAGGTGTTCCGAGGTACATGCTGCACCTCCCGAAGACTCTGAGACTGCCCATCATCAGCTCCATTCCTACTGCCAATGTCCAGCATAGTCTAGCCCCTCTTGGCACACTCTAGCCCTCACCCCTGCCTGGGACCTCCCTGAGCATTTCCTGACCCTTCTCCCAGCTTCTATCAGCCCATCACCACAGCTGCCTTAGCCTCTGCATTTCCCTCCAAGTTCACCAAATGCTGGGACTGTCCACAGCAGAAAGATGAAAGTCAGTCACTCCAAGGCAGAGTTCCGTGGGGACAGGGTCAAGAGTTCAAGTGTGTGTGTGTGTGTGTGTGTGTGTGTGTGTGATGGGGGAGAGGTGAGGAATGCAGAGAGAAAAGAATGAAGGAGCCTAAGTGTACTTGGCTTTAAGTACAGATCTCAGACTGGAGGAGAGACCTGGCCTGGGGAGGGCATCTCTGTTCAGACAACTGGTATACCCACCCACAATGGAGAGGATGACAACCACGAAGTCGAAGATGTTCCAGCTGTTGGTGAAGTAATAGTGCCGCAGGGCACCCATCTTGATGATACACTCGCCCGTGAAGATGACTACGAAGAGCAGGTTGATCTTGCCCAAGATGTTGATCTTCTCCAAGCTTTGGTCATCTGTCTCCACCATCATGGTCACCATGTTCAAGCAGATGAGAAACATGATGGTGACATCAAAGGCCTGCTTGGTCACAATGTCAAATACGAAGCCCTGGTACTTGTTCTGAAAGGAGGGGCAAAGGATGGGCTCAGCAGGGATTTTGTAGGTCAGCAGGTCCCCCCTGTTGCTGACTTTGTCCAGATCGCCCACACTCTTAGTCTCCTGTCTGGTGAGGACGACACCCCACCAGACCGCCACAGTGAGAGGAAGAAGTCAGGAGCTTTCAACAGCCTGGCCCTCCTGCTGAAGCATACCTGGGCTCCAAGGCCCAGCCTCGAAGCTCCCTCTTCCTTCTCTGATGAATCTTCAGGAAGGGATTTCTCCTACTCTGAGTTTCCTTAGCAGACATTCTTTGAGCTTTTCTTTTTGTTCCCACTGTCTGAAAGCTCAAGGTCAAATTTAAAGGTCAATCCTAGTAATTGTATTAGCCCTCAGGTTAATAAATATTCTCCACTCTTTAAGGAATTGATTTTATTTACTCTTCTAACTATATTTGTGTCTTTGTTTGTAAGTCACCCAGATCTCTCTCTCTCCCCTCCCCCCCCCCCACCCCATACACACACATGCACAACAGAGTATGGTGAAAAGAATCAGATGAAATTGATGAATTAGATTAAAAAATTGGGGCTGTCACTTACCAGCTGGTGATTTAGGTTATGTCACCTAATTACTTTGAATACTGCCCCGCAACCCTGCTCCAACATACACACACTTTATTGGAGAAGGGCTTGGTCAGGCAAGGGAGTCAGCCTATGGAGGACCCAACACGCCTCCTGGCCCCACGCACCAGGGGTTCTACCATTCAGGGGTTGTAAGAATGAGGTGATGAATGCGGTGGGGGCTACAAAGACTGCCCTGCTCTCCCTGGGGAAAGCCTGAGCCCTTGCAGGGGAGGAGGGGTTCACTCAGAGGCAGATGAGCTTCTATAGGAGGGGAGTGTCCCCTGGTTGCCACAGCCTGCTCATGCCTGCCTTACTACCTCTATGAGACTGAGACCTCTGTGTGTAGTCAGACGCCTGACTACACTGGACTGGCTGAGGGCCCCAGGCTGCGCCAAAGACCGTGAAGAGGCCATGATAGTTGGCGGTGTGGTATGGGAGCTCTCCAGGCTCCCCCCTCCCCAGGAGATCCTTCCCACTCTTGCCAAATTGGGAGCAGGCTCACCAGAGGCCGAGGGATGGGCTTCTGGGGCTTCTTGGAGCCCAGCTTCTTCATGGCGTTGTAGTACTTCTTCTGCTCCTCTGTCATGAAGATGTCCTGGCCCCCTAAGTGCAGAGAGACAGGCACCAGACTCATTTTGGGGTTCTCAGAGGCTCCAGCACGGACAGCACAGGGATCTTGCTTCAATAATGAGGTGTCAGGACCAGTTTCCCCCGCACTTTCTGTCCCTCTAAAGTATGTCCCTATCCTGCACCACAGATTGCTCCCCAAAGTTGCTTTTCCAGGGAGCCTGTCCCCATTTGCCTTGAGATTTCTCTGGCTTTGTGACCTGCAAGTCCTGTCCCTACTCTCACCCTCTCACCTGCCCAACACAGCCAGGTTGGAGGTTCTCTCTGCTCACCTTGTTTACCTGTAAACCAATCATGGCCCTCTGATGGAGCTCCAGGCAGACCCTGGCCCTCTGCACAGGCCCCACCCATTATCCCTGATCATGGACCAGGTGACGAGTCCCCAGCCTCACCCAGCTTCTCTGAGGAGCCTCATCCCTCAGGTAGACTAGGGCAGGCCTGGGACCCGTTGTTACACTCTTGTAGGCCTAGGCATATGACCTCATGGACACAGATCCCTGCCATTCCACTCCATCCAGCAGGAGCAAGCAGGACCATCCTCAACAGAAAGCCCAAATGGGGCCAGCAGCCAGAACCCTTGGCGCCCAGCCCTGCCAGCCCAGGGGGAGCCTGTGCTCTACGTATCTTTTTCTTCTGTTGGTTGAAGTTGTCAATGATGACGCCGATGAAGAGGTTCAGGGTGAAGAAGGACCCGAAGATGATGAACACAACAAAGTAGATGTACATGTAGAGGTTGTATTCCCACTGGGGCTGCTCTTCATACTAAGGGGGAGAAGTCAGACAGGGAGATCAGACAGGCAGGAGGTGGGCTGGCGGCGGGTGTCCACTCTGTGGGAGAGAGGGGCTGTCCAGAGGAAGGTGTGGGTGTGTGTGTGGGGGGGTGGAGCTGAGAAATGGACAGTGGCAGGTGAGGAGAGCAGGCATGCTGGGCTCAGGGGTGGCACAGTGTCACTGCATGGCTTCTGTCCCTAGGCCATTGGGAGGTTTGAGAATAAGGGGCATCTCTTAGTCTCCTGTGACCTGTCAGTGTGAATGGGTGGTTACAAGGACAAAGGAGAAGCTTGATCTTCCTGGGGTAAGACTTTAAGATTCAAGTAAACTACAGTGAATTCAATTTGAAAGATATTTGAGAACTGTGGGACTCCTTAGGAGACCATTGCCCCAGGGCCAGGCTTGGGCATCCCAGAGAGGTTCAACTGCAGGTTGATGCATGGGATCTGGCCCTTATAGGGTGGGCTTTCAGATGTGGACCCTGATTCTCCGGTGGCCAAGTAGCTGGGACTTTGTGGGAGAGGCCAACCTACCCCCCTGGAGTCCACAGCCGCGTACATAATGTCCATCCAGCCTTTAAATGTTGCCTGAAAGGAAAAGACAAGAGTAAGAAAACCACTTAACTCTGCACCGACTGAGCTACGAGGGCTCCTGACTGGATAGGTAAGGCCAGGAAGTGGCCTCCTGCAAGAAGCTAGCAGCCCACCCCACCCCTGCGGTAGGGTCCGAATGGCTAGGTGGTCAGGCAAGGAACTTGTAGTTCAGAGCTGGTTGTGGAGGGGAAGCCAGCTGAGCAGACACCCCTCGGAGGCCACACAGTGCGGAAATAAGCTTCTAGATGTTGGCCAAGAGACAACTGAGGCCTGAAGGAGGTTGGCCCTTCATTCCGATCCACATTCGTTCCGGATTCTAAAACGACACAGAATCCTACAGCAGGTGTCAGGGACAGAGAGGTGGGGCTTGGGCTCTCTGTCTGGCTTAAGGTGGACCCCAGCGCTGACCTGGTCCCCTTGGTCATGCACCTCAGAGAACCCTGTGGCTTCTGCTCTGTGGCCGTTCAAAGGAAGTCTCTAAAGAATCCCAACCTTCCCTCGTATTTAAGGGGGGTCCTCTGCCAGTGGTGTGTGGGTAAATGGCTAACAAATGACTTTCTAGAAGGAACAAAAAGCTCTGATGGTTGCGTTTGTCAATTTCCCTGTGAAAATCCTCCCACCATGGCTGATTGCAAGTTGCCGAGGGGCAGCTACGGAACAGAGTTGGGGAGACATGCACAGGAGCACTGCGTTGCAGGACTTCCACTGTAGGGACATAATAGATGTATTAACCTCAAGCCCACAGACGATACTACATGGTGATGGTGAGGTTTCATTTTGTTTTAATATCATTTAGTTAATTATAAGTTTATAAGATATAATTTTAAATAACAGCTTGCAAATATCTGGCTGGAGCACACCGTGGCAATGAGACGGGGCCCGGTGCCGGTTGCACTGTCTGCCCCAGTCTGGGCTGCTAGGAAGATTCGGAAAGAGTCCGAAAGACGGGCTTGGTGGTGAGACCAACTGCCCAGTGGGTCTCACGTGTGTCCCTGGCAAAATCCACCCCTGCCCCAAGCCTCCTTTCGGGGCATGAGTTTGTCCAAATGGTGCACGTCTGAGAGTTTTTATGAGGCAGATGGCAGATGGGGAAACTGAGGCCGCTCCACGGAAGGCAAGCTATTTCAGCCTCTTATGCCACGAGGCCCTCACCTGTCTGGAGGAGCCTGGAGATGCTTTGGAAACTGCTGAGAACCACCCAAGGTTATGAGATGCCTGCAACTAAACGCTTCCCCACCACTGAGTGGTTCTGTCTGGAATGGTAGGTGGTTCTCAGTCGATACCAGGGGCCTGCCCTTCCACGTTCTGACATTCAGTGGGGCGGTCACAGGGATCGGAGGCTCTCAGCCTGTTCTCCATGAGGTATTCCAGGGGCGTCTTTGGAGAGCACTACCACTAGGACTTAAGGAGTGGGTGGAGGTCTGTTCCCAGGCGGGAGTCCCGCTGAGTTCTCCTCGGCTTTGGGGATTAGTGGCAGGTGTCTGAGCTGAAGACTGGGATAGCAAGAAAAGCAAGCTGCCGCTTCATGAGTCATGGTTCTGTTTGCATTTCCGTTGTTAAGGCGATTCGTAGGCTCATTTTATGGCATGTCAATGAAAACTCTGGAAAGACTGGGTAGAGCTGGGTGTGTTTAAACCTCACGCATCTTGAACATCGGAGACGGAAGTAGATCTATTCTTTCCAGCAACGCAGGAGATATCACTACTTTTTGTAACAGAGGGTGGCCAGAGCCCCAGTGTTGCTAACAGCTCAGCCCTGGGTGTCTGTGGGCTTTCAATTTCAACCTTTGCCATCACACTGCCCAACTGGCTCCTGGCTGGGAAGGTGGTTCTGCCTTAGTGCCCAACCCCATGCCACAGATCTCGGAGGATGTGGCCTCTGCTCTGGAGAGGAAAGTCTGGGGACTTCCCAAGGAGCCAAGAAGTCTCGGGGGAACCCTGGCCTCCTTTGGGCAATGTGAGCCGACCGTGAGGATTCAGAGGGGCCCCACTGTCCCCCTCCTGCCCACACCACGCGTGAAGGCGCCTGTTGCTAGAGAACCAGAGGGAGGAAGGAAGTCCCTCCTCCCCGAGACTTACCACCTGCAGCAGGGCCAGGTACCCAGCCCCCACGTTGTCAAAGTTGACTTTCACCTTGGTCCAGTACAACTCGCCGGTCATGTTGAACGACTCACAGTCACTCTTGTTGTTCACGAGGGTGTAGTTTAAAGGCATGTCCCCCTCCGTCTGGTTGATGCACCTCCCAAACTTCCCCGCGAAGAGGTTCACGCCCATGATGCTGAAGATGAGCCAGAAGATGAGGCAGACGAGGAGGACGTTCATGATGGACGGGATGGCGCCCACCAGGGCATTGACCACCACCTCAGGTGGACAGAGGACAGACTCAGGCCCTGACGCCATGAGACCCTCACCTTTCCGGAGAGGCTTGGAAATGTTCCAAGACCCTTTCCCTCCACCCCCAACCCACTGAACGCCCGACCATAGGTCCCTGGGGGGAGGGGCGCAGAACATTCCCTGTCCCCAAGGAAGGGCAACCCATCACTGGAAGCCCAGGTGGGGAGTGAGGGGAGTGAGAAAGAACACACACACTTTCCCTGCACCCTAAAGTCTGATGCAACTCCACAACATCCGCCTTTCCCTTCCCGAATCCATGACCTTGAAACTGCATTTTCAACAGGGTCGTTGACTAGGCCAGAGACTGATGGGAGAGGGCCTCTGGAGATACACTGTCTGAGCTAAGTTTCTGGTTTATTTGGGGGTTGCTGCTACTGGGTTGGGGGTATTCTCCCCTAAAGTGTGTCCCGGGAAGGCAGCCACTCCTCTTACCCTCATGCCCTCGAACCGGGACAGGGCTCGCAGGGGCCGGAGCGCCCGCAATGTCCGCAGCGACTTGATGGGGCCCATCTCAGAGAAGCCCAGGGTGTTGGCCACCAGGCTGATCAGCGAGACCTGTGGAGGCAGGAGGGAGACGTGGAGACGGCCCCGGCGACAGACAGGGGGAGTGCTCTCGGCCGCCTAAAACAGGGCTGGGCGTGAGAGGCCCCGTCTTTATGATTCCCGACTGGCTCGACTTCTCGGGCACAGGGCGAGCCTTCCTGGGGCCCAGAGGCTGGGGGCGAAGCCCAGGTGTGTCCTGGCTGAGACACACCTTTCCCGAGAGCCTCCTAAGCCGCCCATTGGTGTGGAGGAGCAAGGACAACGCCCAGGCTTTTGGCCCCTGTGTTTTCCTTGAGGTCAAGTTCTTTTGGGGAAGGAAGGACTGCCCTGGGTTGAGTATGAGCAGACCCTCTCCTGGGGCCTTTCCCTAGAGCCAGACTTTGCAGCATTCTGACATCTTCAAAGAAGGGAGGCTTAGGTGGAGATTTGGGGCAATGAGAGCCA